CCTGCCGCCCTTATGTTTTGCACGTGAGGAAAACGCAAAAACAATGTAATTGACATTGATTGTGTGTTATGAGACTTATTGACCTATTTTGCAGTGCGTGGAATTTCAAAAATTACTTACGTCAGGTGAAAAAGATTGGGAACATTGAAACACTAGGAACATGAAGGCTATTATCTTGGCCAGCACGGATGCTCTCGAAGATGGATACACTAGGACCAAGTCTTGGCCAAGATGGATGCTCTCCATCATGGTTGCACTAGGAACATGAACGCGATTGTCCTGGCCAGCATGAACATGTCCCATAACCCACATTTTGAGCACATTGACATCCTGCTNNAACCTTAAGCCCCAAACCCCTAACCTTTTGGGGCATGCCGTGCGCCTGAACGAGACGGAACCCATATCATATAGGATCTGTGTCGGAATATAAAGCCACACATGGAGACCGGCTCTGTATTGAACACCTGCAAATCCTCCATACGGTATTTGCCATAAGGAGGCTCAAACGTGTGTTGATTCTGCACCAACTTTGCATATCTGGGGCACGCTCCTCAAAACTGTTTCGGTAAACAGTTCACCCTTGGCGCCTCCTCTTCCTTTTTCTTCCAATCGTTCCACTTGTTGTTGCCCTGCATACAGAGGTGTCTCAAAATACGGGGCTCTGGCAATATGTGGATTTTGAAAGGAATTCTGAAGGGTTCCTCGCATCCACTAAAGTCCTTGACTGCTACACCTTTGCGAGTGCGTCAACTACTGTTGGCCATTTCTCCAAGCCAACTGGCAATTGGGCATGGGGCAGGGTCTAATAGGAAGAACAGGGTACCTTCATTGAAGCCCTTGTTGTGTTAAGGTGCCGCAAAGGAAAGGCATGCTTGAGGTTCAGGGGTAGCAGACAAGTTTGTGCGCCGCGGGCTCAAAGGACAATCCTTGATGCTTCTGGAGCTGTGAATGATCGATCCCAACTATCACTGGGGACAGCTTCCACATGAGGAGTCAGCTACAGCATGCTCATCGGTGCTCAAAGGGATAGTTCAATTTTTGCAGATGTCGCTATCTGCGCCAAAAGCCTTTCACATGGGCTTCAAGGGGGTTAACAGATTTGCTCTCAAACTCCAACCTGCGCTGCAAACATGGCGCAGTCACGTCCTGACAGTTGCAAGTTGCTGCAGCAGATTGCCTGATCTATCATAGCAGTACGGCTGGTATACATGTATACACATCGTGCTCACGGGATCTCACGGGGTGGGGGGTGATGAGGGAATCGATGAAATGGATTGTTATGCATAGTGAGCTATTCCTTTTTCCAACTTACTGAATACCACCAATCACTACTTGGCTCTTGAAACTGATTGCCCGCGCGGATACTAGAACCTCTTTTGTTCCTCTGTGGTTTAATAGGGGCCCCCGACAATCTGACCTCAATATAGTAATTCACATAGGGACTCTGGACAAATGGCACCCAATTTTTTTGTGTAGCCCACAAGAATCTGGCCAGCATTCGCTAGCTTCAACACCACTTCTTCGGTGCTCATGCAAAAAAACCTCAGGCAACTTCTGGAGATTCCTGCGCTAATACTCTCCGCCAACAATGAAACTCCACACCCCTATAAACTTACCCCTCATTGTACGCAAGTACTATATTGCAGGTTAGGATTTTGATCTAGGGTANNAAACAGAATCAAAGAGCACTCTAAAAGGAGCCCTAGGAGGGTAAGTGCTCTTTGATTTCTTGGGTTATACCCCTATTATGGTCATAAAATCCTAACCTGCTATATTGAGCTGAGCCCTAAACCTTAAACCCCGGCCCTGGGGGGTGCGACGGCATTTTCTAAGCGGATGGGATTATCCCTTGGGCACTGTTCCAACCTCACAAACAGTCTTGAATAGGGATACCACTGAAGCCCTCATGTAGCCCAAAGCTAGGTATGCCCCCACTTTTACTGGTTGTGGGCAATACCCAAGCTAATTATTATCCCTCAGCCAAAACATTCAGCATGTTTATCTGGAAAGCGGACGTAATCAAATCGATAGTGCACAATCGGAGCCCTTCCAAACTATGCATACCTTGACAGAGCCTCCCACTTGTTCCAATTCTTCCCGCCGCCGCCCTTCCAGTCACCGCCACCGCTCTTCCAGTTCTGCTGGCCTTTCTTTTTCCACCAAGCCTTAGAAATCGAGAGAACTCAATGCCTGCGCCCGAGCTTGGCAAGGCTTAGGAAGGTGGTGCGCGTTGGCATGGCATTCAACGTTTTAATCGCAAGATTTGGTTTGAGGCGGGTTGCGGGCCTTGGCTCAAATGTGCTGCAATCATGACCAGGGTAGTACACATGATCTGGGTTATTGTTACGGAACTGAGGTTAAGTTCCTATACTAAGGAAACTCCATTATCTACCATGCACCCATAGCATGGTAACTTAGGTTACCTTCCTCAACATCAACCCAGTCATCTGTGTGCAGGCAACCACTCATGTGATATCAGATGTTCCCGGAGCAACGGCCCCCGCATGATGCTGGAGAGCTAGAGGTCTCACAACACATGAGCCATAGTCTAAGCTCCTAGTATCCCCCTTAATCACCCCCAAATGCTCCTCTATATCCGCATTTTAGGAGTTTCAACTGTAGCTCACATAACGCATCGCACCAACGGCCACACAGGGAGATCCTGCCAATGGAGACCTTCAAACATGTCACAGTTGAGGACTGAAGGTATACAGGCCTGATTGCACATGTAGGTTAGGATAGCCCATGCCTTATCTGAACAAGTAGGAAACACTGGCAATAACCTTAGCACCTGATTCCACCTGCCTTCTACATTGAACGTAGATGACGCCCAAATTCCGCAACCAGTAGGAAGCCGCAAAGCTTAAGGGCGCCTAACAGTTTGGCACTGTCTTCAACACTTTTCGTCTTGAGATGCTCATTCTCAACGGCTATCATCAACATGAAACACGTGCTCTCAGCCCGGATGAGAGTAGCGACTTCTGACTGGAAATTCTGGAAAGGGTCTTGCCGCCTGGTGATTTCCCCATACAACTCAGCACTGTACAGGTCCACATGTTTGGGACCTCACATAACACCCTGCCCTATGCTTGCTGCACAAAAGCCCATGGGCGAGGTAACTCAGGCAACTTCCCTGTCACCAGTAAATTTCATGTAGGCAAATTTCCCCCAACATCCCCTTTAGTTGCTAGTACAAATAACACTAGTGCTTCCTAAAACCGAGATGCTAAAACCTAATAGGCCTACCCACACTGCAGTGCTTTCCAGGTACATCTCCTGAGCCAGTCTCAGAATCTGGATTGGCCCTCTCTGTTCCCTGCAGGCGCCGTGACACATCAGTGCTGACTTGGAGGTTGATAGCAAATCTATATGTATATATATATATAATTATGTAAGCATGTAGGGCGTGCTAGTTACACGCTACTTCCAACTGTACTAGATGAAGCGGAAGGTTCACTTGGAGGTGCATGAGCAACTAAAACCCCATGAGAAGCCCCTTGAGGCCATTCATATGGTCATAGCGGAGTTCTAGAAGAGTTTTCAGTACCAATGAACTTCAAAGAAAGAAGGCTGGAAAGGCAAGGCCTTCTGTCGGCCTTCCTGGAGTTCGTCTTTGGGTGCCGAAAAAGTCGCGGTGGTCAAGCAAGCCCTAAAGGCTAAACCAAAGCCCAAATAGCACCTACAGGGAAGGGCCCAGGTTAGTACCGGGTTACTGGTTCCCAGTCTGACACGGACACCCACAAGGGCCCTATCAAGACCAGATTCCTTCGAAACAGGGGCTAGATGGGGGGTGCATATTTTTTTGGGGGGAGCCTAGACCCTAAAGCCCTTATCTGCCTCCTACATAATCCCATATGAGCGGTGTTTTGGTGGTTGAACATATAGTAAGATAATATTCCTTTTATAAAAACTATACCCAAAAGGAGGATATAATCTTACTCTATATTGGGTACCGTAGTATCCCCGAATAAAATACTACTCATATAATCCGAATAAAATCCAGTTTTGAGGGTTTCCATGTCGTGTAGCCTCCTTATCCTTATATACCCCCTACCTAGTCCCTACAAAGCTTGTTCTCACGGCTTCATGATACGTAGTTTGTACCGGCCATGTCATATTCATTTTGAGCAGCTTCAGAACCTGGAACCGAGCCGGTTTGGGTTTGGTATCATGTTCTGTATAAACCATCATTTTGTACAAACATCCGCAGACCTTTGGAGGCGTGTTGGGTGGTCTCAGGAGACGGAGAAGGTGAAAACCCGTTTGTTTCCTCCCTTATAACCCGAAAACGCGGCCAGGTGAGTAAGGGGGTATCCCGGCTGATATTTTTCTGGGGGCACCGACAATTGTGGCCTTAGCAGCAGACGCCCAGAGCTTTGTGGAGTACCGGCAGCCTGGCTTGTTTTTCTCTCGTTTGCGCGCGTTGGTCTCGTGCTCAGCGCTTGGAAACATAGAGGGCACGACAATATTTCGAACATAACGCAACGGTGTTAATTTGATCGCAGTGCTGCTGCTGCTGCTGGTGCTGGTGCTGGCGCAATGTCGGCTGCGCTGGCGTGAACCCGTCTGCCTTAGATGACTTCTACTGTGAGTTTCCCTCTCGTCTCCGTCTTGTCGTACCGGGGCGAGCCTGACCGCCTCTGGGGTCGGCTTGAGCCGAAGGCTTTTAACGTGTAAAGCCATCATTTATATGAGGCGAGGTCGGGGGCGGTCTTTACAACCTGCCCAGTTTGCAGATCGGGGCACCCAGGGATGATGTAGGGATCATGTTGAGAACCATCCATCTGCTACTGAAATATAAGGAACTTGTTTAGGGTTGAGGGTTTAGGGTTAGGGGCCATCATCTGGGAACTCACCCCCTGATCGCTTCTCAAAACGTCAAGGCAACTAAGGCCGTGCCGAAAAGATCCCTGTCACCTTGGTGGTTCATCGGCAACTCGAAGGCTAGAAGTAGAGCTATTCTGCCTTAAACCTGAGCCCTAAACTCCAAACATCAAACCCCAAACACTGAACTCTAAACATTTAACATTGAACCTTAAACCCTATACCCTACTACCCTACCCTACCACTGTAAAACACTTCCGCTGCACCAGCCCCTAAAAATCGCACCGGAGACCCAACACTGTCAACATCAGGCGGCAGGTGATCTTGTCAAGAATAGTAAGAACTCTCCGTACTTATATGGAACCCGCCCTGACTTGGACCCTTGAGTAGACCTGGCTGTGTCCCACCAATGAAAGCAATGCTTTGAATGTGAAATAAATTCTTCGCAGGTAGGCTTAGCGAAGCAAGCCTTATTACCCCATGGGATTTCAAAAATACGCGCCCCTTTTGTGGAGTTCCTAGAAGAAGGATTCTAATTAGGGTCTATATTTGGGCCACACATTCATGGAAACGACGAACCAGAAAAACTAAACAGGAAGCACTGGAATGCCAACAATCGCTGTGGCAAAGCCAGGCTAACAGCCCATGTATACATGCAAGCCTACTTATGTTTATAGATGCTCACCTCTACTCACGCCCATTCCCGTAGGTAGGTACAACAAAGCATGAGAAAGATGGGCCTTTGGCGCTTCCTTCTGTTCGCACTTCTTCCCATGACTTGGGCTTTCCTCTCATTTCATGGGGGAGTTGGGCTTCAAGGGTTCTGGAGAGTCGCGGGTTGATGTCTTCGGCCTCGTGTTTCCTAGGGCTCGTGCTCCGTCTAGGGTCTAGGACACTCCCGGACGTTCTTTTGTCGAATGGGGCGGGGCATCTGATCAAAATTGGCCGTTAACGATTTTTCTGGCTTAAACCTGAACAACCCAGATGGTGAGAACAACCTCTCTCTGTACTTGGGAACTAATCAAGTTTCTACAGTAGCTGAGCTTTGCTGTTTGCGAGGGACCCTGGTGTTGGTGAGGGCTTCAGAATCATAGAGGCCTGTTGAGGGATGGCTGCGGCAAGAACTATAGTCCGGGTATGGTAAGCTTTGAAAAGCACCTTTTTTTCTTCGACTTACTTATCCTGCCTACTTTCGCTTAAACTGTGTCCCGGCTCATCCTTCTTCCGACATTGTGTAAACTTTTCGTTTGAGCTGATCCTTCCTGCTTTCTGGACCTGTAACTCTTCTTTCCAAGTCATCATTCCTGCTGCATGTGACTTTTCTTTCCCTTTGCAACTCTTCCTTCCGACTCATCCTTCCTACTTTCTGCATCGTTTCTTTCCAACTCGTCTTTCTACTTTCCGTAACTCTTCTTTCCAACTGATCTTTCTAATTTCTGTAACTCTTCTTTCCAACTTGTCCTTCTACTTTCTGTAACGCTTCTGTTGAGCCTATCCTCCAGGTGTCTGTAGCTTTTCTTTCCAGCTTTCCTACATTCTGTAAGTCTTCTTTTGAGCTTTGCTACCTTCTGCACATATTCTTTACAACCTATCAAGCCTTTGTTGTGGTCAGCCTTAGTTCGCTTGGGTTTAGGGTTTAGGGTTTAGGGTCTTTCTTTGACATCTTCTGCCTCACATCCTCAATCTGCAGTTGCTGTATTATGGTATGTATGCTTCCACTTTTGTACGCACCCCAAACACACTGTATAAATGCTGATAAGTCCCCCTCCACCAAAAAAAATAGCCTTGTGGGCAGCTTGCGTTTTTTCTGACGGATCTTTGTAGTACATAACACCAGAGAATGTCAGGAGCCTGTTAAGGCCAGCGGCAAGCAAAAGGTTCAGACGAAGACGCGCTTGCCATTTTGCGCCCAGCTATGTTGCAGAACACAGTGCAGGACACAGGGGGAAATTGCCAATAGGGACTTGCAAGAACTCCTCAGAATAGGATGCTATGTGGCAGCGAGTTGTTTTGAAGGAGGCCATATTTTTGACGGCGTTCCCAGAAACTCCAGGTACCCAGTACTTGGGACTTCGATAGCAGTAATTGTATCATAGACCTGGGGAAGTGTGGAACAGTGTGGAATCTACATTATATTGTAATATGCTATATTATCTTATACCTACACCTTCCCCCCCATACGTGCATGGACCCTTCCGGCGGCTTCTGATCAGGAGCAGGTCCTGACCGTTTCGGATGTTTCGCGCACTTCGCACACCAGGTATTGAACAACAAACGTCAATGTATATGTGTATATGTCTGCTCTGAAGCCCAAACGGTAAGGCAGCATCACCCATAAGGA